CAAAGTAAAAATAGAAGAACGAAAAATGATTACTTAATTATAGATGACCTTTTAATCAGATTTCTATTAAACAAAATAAATCATTAAAAGGTGAGACACATAAAACACACATTAAGTGAAAAACACAAAACCAGGGGAAGGTATTAATTGGTATATTTTATCCTAAGTGGCAGAGAAATATGAATAAATACATCTTTAAACATGAAACATTCTGAATATCTAGTAAATTGTATTTACATTACTGTAACTCAAGCATGTCAAACTCATGGCTTGCGGGCCGCAGGCGGCCCACAAGGACCATCTTTGCGGCCTGGCGAGCCGCGAGTACATGCTGGTGTTATAGCAAAGTAGGCACCTGCTTTCCCCACATTGCAGGTGCCTACTCTGCTAAAACTTACCTGACCAGGGAGGAGGGCAAGTGAGAGGAGCTCAGCCTTCCTGCTCATCAATGCTCCCTTGCGCGTGCCGTCTGAAGCGAAGCCGGGCGCCGGAATATGACGTCGGCACCCGGCATCAAAAAAACGCGCAAGGGAGCAGGAAGGAGATCTTGAGGCAGAATATCACCACACCAGCTCTATAAGGTAGGGAGCAATAAAAAAAAGTATGTGTCTGTCAGTGTGTGTCTGTCTGTCTGTAAGTATGAGTGTGTCTGTATTTATGTGTGTATGTCAGAGTATGTGGGTGTCTGTCAGCGAGTATGTGTATGTCAGATTGTTTGTCTGTCTGTGAGTATGTATGTGTGTCTGTCTGTGAGTGTGTGTGTCTGTCTGAGGATCATATTTGGCACAGGGTGGTAGAGGGGGGTGCTGTGGGTTAGTAGAGGGGGATGCTGGGTTTTTTATACTGTACTTTAAAAAAAATAAAAGTTGGGGTTTTGTTGCGGCCCACATAAACTTAAACCTTGTTTATGTGGCCAGATCCAGACTTTGAGTTTGACATGCTTGCTGTAACTAGCTAGAGGTTACCCGATGAAGACCAAATGTAGCAGTGATTGTATCATTTAAACAATGTAGCAGGCTGCAGCTCTTTGCCTACAGGAAAAAGTTGCAAATAACAAATTGTTACAAAATGACTGATCCTTTATGGATGGAAACTGAAATTCCTAAACACATTATAGATAAGGTGCGAGAGAACAGTGTGGTATTGAAGTTAAAATAAGTTAAATATTGAAGTTAAAATGAGCTAAATAAGTTTTAAAAAAATCCCATGTCTAGAAAGCACCATATAGTAGACCTGCTATAGTGTTATCAAAAGTCTGCTAACACTGTAACACTTAGTGCTAGCAGTAAACTCACAATATCAGCTATATTAGTGGCCCTGCTGACTCCTTGGCAATAAAACACACCAGCTATCTTCTTTAAATTGTATATTTGGCTTCCTTCATTGGGAATACTGATGTGGGTAAATTTGGAACCCATATCAGTATTCCCAATCCGGTAGAGGTTGAGGTAGCTGAGATGTCTAAACAAAAGAAATGTAAGCTGGATTGTAATTACACTACTTCCCAACTCCCATGGGTAACCTGTCATAGTGATATGTGCTCAGCCAGCTATAAACAAGGTCCGACGCATTTCTGTGCCTCAAGGCACCTTCAAACAGGGACCAGACAAAACTGTAATATAAGGGTTTCTCTTCAATTGTCCCCATACATATTATATATAATTTCAGAAAGGACAGATATTGCTTTCATTGAGCATCCAATATGTATGCCTAACACAACATTATGTGTAAATTAAATGCTACAAAATTTGGGGGGGGAGGAGGGGGAACATTTTCAAGTTTTTGCTCATAATAATTTTTACATCCTATTTAAATGCCTCTTTAAAGAACTGTTTGAAGTACTGCAAACAGCTTATCTAAAACTCTAAAGCCTAAAATGGTCCCAGCAGACAGATGGGAGTCCCAGGTATCTATTTATTCCAGGGATTTAACCTTGCACACACCAAATACGCCGGGTGTTCTATGCTGCCATACAGGCTTTAAACCCCACTTTACGTAGGACGGCCCTAACGTTGTTAAGGGGCTACTGTATATATTAATCTGTTTGTGCTAGTGTGTTACCTTGTATTTCCATGTGAGTTCAGCAGGTACATGCCATATTAAGCAAAGGGAAGAATAGTCTTCTATTGTGATATATCTCATGGAACTGGTAGTCATAACAAAATAAATAATTTCTTCAATTACTTGTAAAAACTAATAAATAATTAAAAGAGAATACAATGTACATTGGAATTTTTAAAAATACTGGGGCTTGAAGCCACCCATCCCAAAAACACTTGTGCTGTTGCAGAGAGTTAAACTGCACACGCGCGTGTATGTGGGCCCGATCCTATGATCGAAGTGTCACAGACATCTGGGTGCAGATTTTTGTTTGATGCCCCAGGTTGGTGTTCTCATTGTTACTAACTACTTCCCTTTGTAAATGTCCAATCCAGACATGCATGTTTCTATGGCAATGATGCCACCTCTCCATCTTTAAGACCCAACTATATTTGTAATCAGACACTTTCACTTACAGACACACACTCTCACTGACAAACATGCACACTCACTGTTTCTAAACAGACTGGAAGACACACACTCACTGATACACACTCTCAATGACAGACACACTCTCACTGAGAGACACACACTCTCAATACAGACACACACTCATAGTTATGACACACTGACAGACACACACTCACTATCAGACACACTGACACACTCTCAATGACAGACACACAATCTCACTGCTTTGAAAAGCACTCACTGACAGACACAGACTAACAGACAAACTCATGACAGACACACACTGACAGAAACACTCGCTGACAGACACAGACATACACACTGAAACAAACACTGACAGACACACCTGCTGACAGACACACATGCTCAATGACTGACACACACTGTCATTAATTTTAAACACACTCACTAACAGACTCACACTCACTGACAGACACACACTCACTGACATTCACAAACTGATTGATTTGACACACATTAATAGACATGCATTGACTGGCAGACACTCTTAATGACAGACACAATATCACTGATTCAAAAAGCACTCTGATGGGCACACACTGACAGACACACGCACACTGACACACATTCTCAATGACAGACACCCTGACTCACACTCTCAAAGACACACACACTATCACTGATTTGAAACACACTCACTGACAGATGCACAATGACCCCCCTAACACACTTAGTGACAGAGTGTGTCTCACTGACAGACACACACTCTCACTGATTTGAAAAAAAAACTTTAAACTTTCTTGTACACACTCACAAATTAATTTTCTTTTTTTATTTTTGTAGGCCCACCCAGCAGGGACGTGTCTGTGAGGCAAACAAGGCATCTGCCTTGGGCGGCACTGTGCAGGGGGCAGCAAAAAAAGCCACCCCCAAACGCCCAGGCAGATCCCTTGTTTGCCTCGTGTCCTGGGGGGCTCAAGAGCTGGCTGGCTGGCCACTTTTGAGCCCCCCTGAGGCAAGCAGTGGGGAGCTCTTCCTGCTCAGCTCCCTCCGCGCCGCTTAATGAAGCCGGGAGCCGGAATATTACGTCACTCCGGCATCACTAAGCAGCACGAGAGGAGCTGAGCAGGAAGATTAATGCTCCCTCGCCGCCTACTCAGCCTGTCCGCCGCCTGCCCGACCAGCAGCCCTACTGGACAGGTAAGTAATCCACTCCAGCTCTCACAGGGAGGCTGGATGGATTTAAAACACAATTTTGAAAATAATCATTTGTGAGTGTTGGGAGAAGTGTGAGTGTGTGTGTGTGTCTGTAAGTGAGTGTGTGTGTGTGTGTCTGTAAGTGAGTGTGTGTGTCTGTATGTGTGTGAGTGTGTGTGTGTGTCTGTCGGTCAGTGAGTTTGTGCGTCTGTCAGTGAGTGTGTGCGTCTGTCAGTCAAAGTGCGGCCTTGACAGGAAGGGGTGGGGAAAATTTAAATTGGGGGGGTGCATGAGCACCATCCTGCCTAGGGCAGCACAAATCCTAAATACACCACTGCCACCCAGTCTCCCTACCTTTAAGGAGCAGTGAAGTACAGTGAGTATAGCAGCAGTGCCTACTCTGCCTTAGTTAATAAGTGTCCACTGTCCCCCTATGACAGTCCATTGGCCCGCTCCTTGGTGCACCTCCTATCTTTTGGTGCCTGGGATCTGCCCTGTGTGCATGTGTGTACATGTGTCTGTCTGTCTATACATTTCCTCCAAGCTTCAAGTCTCCTCAGTGAATCTAATTGATATATAATATAATTGATCATATACTTTTTTTGTCCAATTTTTTTTGTCCAAATTTTCATCCAAATTTTTGCTAGTTGTCCATTCGTCCAAAAGAACAATGAACAAATACAAATTACAAACAATTAAAAGAGTGAGAGCCATAAATAATAAACGGGTGCATTGCCCCTTCTCCCCCCCCCCCCTCCCCCCCCCATTGATTGTAGTAGGTGTTGGCCCTAAATAATAAAGTGGGGGTTAGACCTATCGCACAGTACATATGAGCTGTTCCTGGTGATGCTGGCAGTAGAAATCAGCCATTCCTAGTGCTGCACAGTACACATCAGCCATTCCTGGTGCTGCTCAGCCATTCTTTGTGCTGGTAAAACAGATTGGCGATCCGTTCCTGGTGCTGTGCAGTACAGATTAGTAATGTCTGGTGCTGATCAATCATTCCTTGTGCAGATCACCCTTTCTGGTGCTTCACAGTATAATACATCAATTTCTGGTTCTGATCAGCCATTTCTAGTGCTGGCAGTACATCCATTCCCTGTGTGACAGATAAGCCATTCCTGGTGCTGTGAAGTACAGATCAGCCATTCCCTGTGTGACAGATCAGCCATTCCCTGTGTGACAGATCAGCCATTCCTGGTTCTGATCAGCCATTCCCTGTGTGACAGATCAGCCATTCCTGGTTCTGATCAGCCATTCCCTGTGTGACAGATCAGCCATTCCTGGTTCTGATCAGCCATTCCCTGTGTGACAGAGAAGCCATTCCTGGTGCTGCTCCCTGTAAGCAGAGGTCTGGGCGGTGCTTGCTGATGCTCAGAGTGAGCGCTGCAGCCCGGATCAGACAGAGCCTGGAAGGGGGAGAGCAGGCTGAGCTGGGAGCAGCATCCAGGAAGGGCTCAGAGTGACTCCCAGTCAGGTAGCCAACTAGCCATGGGCTTGGAGAAGAAGTCCGATGCCCGGATCTACATGGACCCAGATGATTTCCACCCCTCCTCAGTGCCAATGCTCACCGAGAAAACCTACCAGAACTCCCCGAACCGGGACCCACACCAGCTCAACAGCCACCTCAAGGTAGGGGGGGTCACCTCCAATACTAAATAATATAACTAGTGGGGGGCAGTCACTTACCTCCAATACTAAATAATATATCTAGTGGGGGGCAGTCACCTACCTCCAATACTAAATAATATAACTAGTGGGGGGCAGTCACTTACCTCCAATACTAAATAATATAACTAGTGGGAGGGGGGGTCACTTACCTCCAATACTAACTAATATGGACTTATATGGAGAAAAGTTAAAACTCTTTATCTGTTACTACACAGGACAGGCTGCCAGTCTGCTTACTGTACATAACCTGTTATATGAATACATCCTGTTTTATACTGAATATTACATGGTTTACTTTATCTTTAACATTTCATGGTTTACTTTATATATTCCTCGCTTTATATTACAGCCCTGCTTTTTAATGCATACCTTGCTTTTTATTACACTCCTTAACAACCATAACTACTATATGACATAGCCTGCTTTATAGTACTTGCTTTAATATACATAGTATATTACCTGCTTTATATCACATGCCTGACTTTATATTACATGTTTTAATATTGATATTACATGCTCTGCTTTATATTACATTCTTTGACTATATTTCAAGCCCTGCATAATATTACAGACAGTGCTTTTTAAAATATGCCTGCTCTCTTTTACATCTTTACATCTTTTTATCTTTGCTTGTATAAACACATTGGTTTGTCTTACATGCCTTTCTTTAGATAATATTCCCTGATTTTATTACATGTCTCTCTTTAGATAATATTCCCTGATTTTATTACATGCCTTGCTTTAGATAATATTCCCTGATTTTATTACATGCCTTGCTTTAGATAATATTCCCTAATTTTATTACATGCCTTGCTTTAGATAATATTCCCTGATTTTATTACATGCCTTGCTTTAGATAATATTCCCTGATTTTATTACATGTCTTTCTTTAGATAATATTCCCTGGTTTTATTACATGCTTTGCATTATATGACATGTCTTGCTTTATATTACAGATAGCCTTTGAAGATGTGATAGGAGAACCTTCTACCACTCACAGCTTTGATAAGGTGTGGATCTGCAGCACTGCACTGTTTGAAATCAGTAAATATCTGATCTACAAAGTTCTCACAGTGCTGCTTGCTATCCCACTCTCCTTCGTAGTGGGAATCCTGTTTGCCATCCTTAGTTGTCTTCATATTTGGTGAGTAAATAATGACAACACACACACACTCTCTCTTTCTCTATACCCCTCACTATGCAGGGGAATGAAGGGTTAATCATGCAGGGTAAGTAAATGTCATTAATTACACTCACATTCCCATGATCTGTGGAATAGTTAAACTTATATTTTGGCTTCAGGTGTTACTAGGTCCCAAACTTAAGGCCTCCTCAATAAACCCAAAGAGGTTGTTTACATACTAAGGGATAACATAACAAATCTGTCATCTTTTTTGGGGAACTGTTTTGCTCTACTGAGCCCAGAGTAAGCGAGAGTAACAGCGGATCTTCACTTCTGGATGACTATCACCACTGTCTTCTTGAGGTGCCCTGCGCATGCATGTTGGGTATCGTTTTTCTCATGGCATGTACATTCGCATTCATATGTTGGTTAAAGGGATTCATGGGACATATGAAATATGCATCTAATTCCAGCCTGTGCCAAAATTGCCTCCTTGAATTTCCAAAAAATTGCAATTTTTTTTTTTAAAATAGATATTTTTGCCTTTCAAACCAGTAAGTCGGCCCTATTCTTTTGCCTAAAATCTGTCTAAAATATTATAAGATAATATTTAATTATGATCTAAGTTTTCAAATTTATGGAGTAATTCAATACAATACAGGGGTGAAGGCGGGGGGCTACTGTTCATGAATTTGGAGAATGCTTGTGGGCTTTAGTGTATGTGGATTTAGATTTCGATTTGTGGTATGTCTTATGAAACATAGGTCATCTCAAACTAACTTAATTCCATTCTACAAAGAACAGATCAGGATGTTGCAGTGGATGTGATCCACTTGTGTTTTGCTAAGGAGTTTAATATGGTCAAAATAAAAGAAACTGGCGTAGATGAAAATCCTTGTTCTTGGGTAAAACATTGGCTTAAAGATAGAAAACAGAGAGTTTTCATTAATGGTAAATTTTCAGGCTGTACAAAAGTGGTAAGTGGTGTCCCTCAGGGTTCTGTTCTGAGACTGCTTCTATTTAACATGTTTATAACTGATCTTGAAATAGGCATTGAAAGCCATGTTTCAGTGTTTACAGATGACACAAAACTAGGAAAGGTAATACAATATGTGCAGGATATTACTTCACTTCAGATGCATTTAGATAGATTGGAGGACTGGGCATTTAGCAGATGAAATGTAATGTAGATAAATGCAATGTTATGCACTTTGAGTTGAAGAAGGCTCAAATATTATATATTATACCCCAAGGGTAGGCACCTTTCACACACCAGATGTTGGAGACTACATCTTCCATAATGCTCTTACATCCAAAATGCTGGTAAAGCATCAGGGGAGATGTTGTCCCCAACATCTGGAGTGTCATAGGTTGCCTACCCCTTCCATAAATCGCAGTGAATTAGGGGAAACAGCAGTTGTTAAGGCCAGTAAGGTATTGTCATGTATGCATTAATTCTAGGGATAATAATATAATTTGTCCCATATATAAATCAACACTAAGACCACACCTGGGATATTCTGTGCAAGTTTGGAAACGTGTCCTAAAGAAATATATTATGAGGTGGGCTATATAATTAATAAGGGGAATGGAAGATTTTAGTTATGAAGAAATGCTAACAAATCTAAATCTGTTTAGTTTAGGAAAACAGCACCTCCGAAAGGATATGATGGCATTTTACAAATATATTAAGGGGCCAATACAAACCATTGCCTGATAATCTGTACATAAATAGGACTATATATAGGACACGAGGTCTCCCATTTGGACTGGAAGACAAATTTTTGTGTAACACAAAATCAGTTGTGAAGAGTTGACAAGGAAACTGCACATTTCTGGACAAAATGTGATAGACTATTCTCCAATTCCAATTTTGGCCTAAATGTTTCATTGTCTATTCTCCACTATTCCTTGTTGAATAAACTCAATTTATACATTTTGTTCACAAGGCATCCCGCCATATTAAGGAAAGTTTTTTTAAGAGTTAAATGGCGTATTTGCAAAACTGTTGTTTTCAGATGAGAAACAATCATGGATCAAGATTTTACCATTATACTATCATTGGTAATGCCATAATGAGACCGTTGCAGTATGATTAGATAACATTCATCATTTCCTTTTCATGCAGCAAGATACTAATGCAGTGCTAATGAATCACAAGACGATTATATCTAAATAAAACACCAATCTGACATATAATAACCTTTAGTAATATCTATGTTGTCCAATGTTTGTCATTAAACCTTAAGAACATCATTGTACCTCAAACTTTCAGGATTTATCTTGGGCTTCTTTATACATGGTATATATTTCATACAACCTGTCTCAGTGATCTGAATGAACCAATTGTTGAGTCAAACTGAGTCAAACATTATACTGTGTATTAACACTGCAACATTAAGCTTAATCTACTCCTCTGAAGCCTAGAAAGAAGGTCTATTTAAGATAGAACATATTAAATCTGTTATACAGGGACATTGTATCCATCTGAACAAAGGAGCATTATTGTTAAGGCAGAAGAGAATGCTCACATAAAGCTATCAAATAGTTTATTAAAGTATCATTCTAATATTTCATTGTCTGGCAGTTAAAGGGACCTTGTGTGGGCTGTGTCTGTAACTGACAAAAAAATGCTGAAGTGAATGGCAAATAGTACAAACTCTTATTCTGCCCCCAAATGGAATACCTTTTCTCTATAAATGTTTTTTTTTGTATGGTGTTTGTTTCTTTTTTTTTTTTAAATACTTATATGATTGAGTGTGTTTTATTGCAAACTTTTTATTGAAAAACAAATTACGATCCCTATTTTTTCTCACAGGTATGTTCTTTATGATGTCATGTTAAGCAGTCCATGAGGATTACACATTTCCATAAGTCTTGTATTTAGGATTTACCAATATATTTTTAAAGGTGGCACTGGGATAGTCATTAAAGGAACGGTACAGCATTAGAAATACACAACTGTATAAATTCAAATTTCATGACATGGTTGCTCTGTGATTGCTAGTGACTTGTCTCTCTGGTATCTCCATAGATGGGACACCAGAAGATCCATGAGGTGTACCTTTTATGCATTTGGAGGCTGTTTGTAGGACTTTGTGTGTGTGGATTTTAAGGGAAGCTGTTGTGTAAATAGGTCTGTTTTTGCTGTATTGTGTTTGTGGTGACATAAGAATGTCTAGGAGCTGTTGTGTGTGTGTGTGTGTGCATGGAATGTAGTGTGTGTAGTGGATGTAGTATGTAAATAAGGAATGTAGATAGTGTTTGTATTGGGGATGTAGGAAGTGTGTGAGTATAGGGGCTGTATTGCGTATGTGTAAAGGAAATATAGTGTGTGTGTGCATAGGGCCTGTTGTGTGTGTGTTTGTGTGTGTGTATAGGGCATCCAGTGTGTATATATAGGAGATGTAGTGTGTGTGTGTGTGGGATGTAGTGTGTGTTTGTGTATACAGAGGATGCAGTGTCTGTATGTATATAGCCTGATTACCTGAGGGCCTGCTTATTAAGTAAATCCCACTGTATATATATCAAGGTATTGGGAAGCTTCACTGATACACTGATACAATCTCTCTCTCTCTCTCTCTCTCTCTCTCTCTCTCTCTCTCTCTTCCCAATACCTTGATTAAAGGTATCCTAATCACGTCTGATCCAGTAACAGAGATAGATAGATAGAAAAAAATGAATTCTGAAACCCAAAAACAACAGCACCTAAGGGTACCATTTGGGTACAAATTCATAGAAGCTTTGAATTGTTTGTTGTTTGTGTGTGTGACAAAGCTAGACTGTAGTAACTACTCAAAGTAACGTGTCTTTAATCTATTGCAAATATGTTTAGCAAGTCATTTTAGGAAATACAATAAGTTTTTCTAAATTATGTATTCAGTTACAAATAAATGGTACATTACCAAAAATGATTTGTTAAAGCCCCTTCTGTAGGGTTACCTCCCTCAACCATCTCCTAAATGGAATGTATCCTTCCTTTTGAACTTTTGGAACGATTCTTAAGCAAATCTAGGGTTTCTGCATTCTGGTGTCCTGCAAAATCGTAATGATGTTATCTTTATATATGAGACATATGGGTGAATCTTGTTCTTTTTTCAATACAGGATAATCATGCCATTTGTGAGGACCTGGCTAATGGTATTACCGTCTGTGCAAGCAATCTGGAAGGGTGTGACTGATAGCCTTGTTGCCCCCTTATTTGCCAGCATGGGACGGTGTTTCTCTTCAGTCAGTGTGCAGATGGATAAAAATTAGCTACATTTCCAAATTACCTTTGTTTTATGACACATCAGACCTCTTGGTGAAGAACTCTACCATTTGTCTTATGGAGTATGTTCACAACACTTTTCATTAGAGGTGGTCAAATGGCAGATCTTTATCTGTTTCACAACTACAACTCCCATGATGCTTTGCCAGCCTTACAACATACAATAACAGTCATCTGCCATTTGACCACCCCTGCTCTAAGTGGTCTTTTTGGATACAGCTGTAGTAATCATTTAGATCCTGTGACAGATGTTCAAATATTGCTCCCCTCCTGGACATAGAAGGATGTTATCCTCATCTTGAAACATTCCATCTCCCAAATATGTATAGAAGCAGGTGTACAGTGTGAGTGAATATTCTAGGGGAGATTTATTAAAGTATCGCAGACAGTTTTTCACATTTTGGTGCTTTTTTTTTTTGCACCCCAACATCAGTTATGAATGTACACTTAGATTTACCAATTTTTCCATCACTTTGACCAAAACATTCAAGTGTTCTTTTTGGCTTTTCTTTTTTCCATAATTCTAAATGTAGTAGTCGTTTCTGATAAATAGCACAAGTTAGGTAGAGAAATAAAAACAAATATTTTTAGACCATTTTTAGAATAATTTATTAAAGGTATACCATGGGCATCAAAATAACTGTAGCTTAATGGAGCAGTTTTGGTGTATGGATCATTCCCCTGCAGTCTCACTGCTCAATTTTCTGCCATTTAGATGTTAAATACCATGTAATACACATGTTTATACAGCCCAGTCACACCTCTCTGCAAATGACATGCACAGTCTTCCTAAACAGGTCCTGTAAAGGAAATTAGATATTCTAGGTTCCTTTATTGCACATTTTGTTTAAGTTAGAATTCCTTATGTTTTGCTCTGTTAATAGCCTTTTAAACTCTCTGCAGAAACATCCTGTGGGAATATGACGTTTAAAAACTTCTACAGCAAGTTAACATCTGATTCAAAATGAAACAATTTTTTTTCATGCAGGCTGTGTGAGTCACAGACAGGGGCAGTGTGGATAGGGCTGCATAGACAGAAGCAAAAATTAATTAACTCTTTAATTGCAGAGAACTGAACAGTGAGACTGCAAGGGCATGATCTATACACTAAAACTGCTTAATTACGCTAAAGTTGTTTTGATGCCTATAGTGTCCCTTTAAATACAAACAGATGATAAATAAATGACACTTTCTAATACACTTTTATAAATCTCCCCTTTTGTGTCTAGAAATGTATTCTTAACAAATGCACTAGATAGCATCACTACTTGACAACTTGTATTGAACTCTTAAGGGTCTGTTCAAGGTGAATAGTATAATGTAGTGATTTAAAGCTGAACTGACAAACATTAGCTGATTTTGAATTTTCAGCAATCCGGCTTTGGTTGCAGAAAACTACAGTTTTATCCTGACTTTTGCTTTTCACTCCTCGTTATAACTAATCTTAAGAACAATCATAAAAATATTTTGATTATTAATAGCACATTTTACATTTGTTTGCCACAGATTTCTACAAATTATAAACATATTGGAGTTTGTTTATTGGTACTGCGAAGAGATGACAAGGGCTAGCACATTTTAGTCCGAGAAATTTTTCTAATTCAGCACTTTTGGTATAAAATGTACAATTACCTTTTCAATTTTAAGCAATTCTTAATTCAATAATTAAACTCCAATATGTATAACTTTATTAACAATTTGTATACATGATATTTATAATCTCAGGACCTGCACAAGCTACACCTGTCAATTATGATATATCCTTTTTGTATGTTGCCTTTTTTTAGAGCCCAAATGCCTTACTGACTGATTAAAAATATTGTTCAGCTTTAAAGTTCTGTCGGGATATATATATTGGATAATTGCCCAAAATATATTTGTACTGTATATTAGCCTGATCCACTGAATATAATGCTTTGTACATTTTCAATAAAGAAGTCTAAACATTTTCAATATTCGTTTGTAGTTGTGTTGATGTAGTTAATATTAATAATACTCATTAAATACCAATTAATATTCTTCAACACTTTCAGTCGACTCAGGGCCAGCATGTTTATATGGTGGCCTTAGGGTGCCAGAAGGGGGGGGGGGGCGCAAAAATCCAAATTTCCTGCCTCTGGCTGGGGACTCGGATTCAAATCACTTGTCTCCCTGCAGTCAGCATACAGCAGCCAGGGAAGTCGGCCAGCCTCTCCTGATGATGTCAGGAGGAGGGGGCGAGGCTTCCACTGCTTTTCTCCCGGACTCCCCAGCGGAGTCTGGGAGAAAAGCAGTGGAAGTCACGCCCACTCCTTCTTACATCATCAGGAGAGGCTGACCGACTTCCCAGGCTGCTTTGTTCTGGCTCCTGCTACTGCTCACCCCGCTCTGGCCCAAGGTAAGTCTCAGGAAGGGGTAATACATTCGTTTTTATTTTATTTTTATCCAATTTTTGTTTGTTATCTAATTTTTTTTTTTTACGCAGCCCCTGTTTCCCCACAACAGCCTTTCCCTCCCCCCATAGCACATGTGCATCCATATACATCACCTGTGCTGGCCCCAGACATCCATTGGCGGCATGGTCCCCCCTTCATGTGCTTATTTCCTCCCCTCAGCCCACCTCCATGCAAATTTAAATCTATTTTTACCATATATTCGGTTTTCACTTTGAATGCTCGCTTTCGTGAATAACCCTGTTTTTTTAATGTTTTTTTTTTTTTGGTGGGGGGTGGGGAGACAGGCTTCAAAGGGTTACTCCAACCAAAACCAGTGTTTTCATAAATCACTGTTTTGTTGTTGTTGGAGTAATCCTTTAAAACATAATTTTTTGGGTAAATCTGTTATTCTGTTAAAGCTCTTTCCTGGTCACCTAGCAGTCAGCATCAAGAAGAGGAAATCCGTAACAATGCTTCTCTTTCTCATCCCATGCCATTTGCAATGTGTGCACTGGCTGTGCCTAGACAGAATTCGATTGTGATGTCATTTGCTGAATCTTTATAAATTTTAAATAAAATGGAATTTCACATGAAAAAAAAGGTAAACACAAGATGATGTTCAATGTTATAGTCAATCATATAATTTCCAGAGAAGTAACAGTTTCCCTTTTAGCAAAGATAAACAATGGTTTGCATTCATAACTGATCATTTTAAATGATGTCAAGATACCGGATTTTTCCATGTATAATACTGTGTTTTTTTCTAAATTGTTTTAGTCTAAAATTGGGGGTTGTTTTATACACGGAATGTCACTGCAGGGATAAAAAAAAAAACACTTGTGCGCGGGGCCTGACAGCCAACCAAGCTAGTCGCATGTGGCTGGAGCACCTTTAGAAATCGAATTATTAAGTCAAATACTTACAGTACTTACTCAGCGCAATTTGGGCACAAAACTTGGCTACTAGCTGATAGAACACTCAGCTGACTGTTCGGCTCACTACTGGTAGGTTCCTGCGGGCATAGACTGTGTTGTACAACTCTGCAACCTGCTGACATACTTAATGCAGAGGAGGCCTTCTCTGTGAATTTGATCGTTTGGGTGTGCAGGTCTGGGAGATCTTGCACAACCACATGCTTCCTTTTATCACTCTGGACCACACCAAGACCTTGCAGCTCCGGACCACAGATAGACGCCGCAGCGTGAGCCCTTGCCCAGTCATCCCCCATAGGGTACTGCAGGCAAAGGGCATCGTTGCCGCAAACAGCAGGTCAGCAGTCCAGGTAAACAGTGTCCAGACCTCGGTGTGCAGCCTGCCGGAGTGTGAGGGGGCCGGGGACCGGTGGGGAATCCTGATCAGCCAAGCTAGACTTCAGTGCTATAGATGTTTAAAATATGTATTTCTTAATTTTGAGTTCAAAAAATAGGGGTGTCTTATACACAGAAAAAAAATGGTAGATTAATCATTCTAGTGAATGAATACTGAACTAATAAACACACACGTCTTTACAGAAAGAAGTCAACTGTGGGACTTGAGTCATTTGATAATGCTTTTATTGGCAAAATTAAACTGCAACAATGTGCAAACTAAGGAATGAGTTTGTCCTTCAGGATAGCCAAGATAAGCTATTACTAGTACCATAACCACTAGAGCCACTCTGTAGTGGTTATTGTGCCAGGAGTGCCCTGGTAACCACCCTCAGTGTGTAGTCAAACTGTTTAAGAATGTTGTTTTAACATCCATCACCTCCCTTGGAAATGCAAGCACTGCCTCTTTGCTAAGTTTGGTGGTGCAGGAAGGCAATCATTGGCTGAGAGTGTTGAGCTGGCGTTCTTAGAAAATAGACCATTAGGTCTTTGCAGTAGCGTCTGGCTCCATGGAGTAGGCAGCAGGACCCCAGTAGACACCAGGTAATTAAAGGAACCCTCCGGCACCATAACCACTATGTTAAAAAAAGAATACTTTCTTCTGACCACCTTTGTGCTTACCTCTGGCCACAGACGGGATAATACTGATATCTATTGGTACAGTGAGTTGAGCACGTGGTCAGCATCCCCTAACGGAAACCATTTCACCAGCATATTAACTATAAGACATTGAAGAAAATGTATTCCATTCAGGATATTTTAAATAAACACTCTAACATTAAAAAACTATTTAGAGCATTTCTTTTTAGTGTAGATTACTGCGCCCTCTTTGTAAATAAATAAATAAATAACAATAATTTTTAAAATTATCTATAATCCATAATCCCGCATTATGGCGTGACATGTGATGATGCCAAACATGAAGGCCAATGAAATTCAAACATCTTAGTGAGGAATCAGCGGCGACCCTTTCCAGTGGAATTCTATGCTCCCCGAACCTGAGATTCCGAAGCCGAATGCCGCCTGGGGGGAGTTGAGATCGGCACTGGAGGCTCACTTTGGGAGTTAAACTATTTATTATTATTATTTATTATTATTTTATAATCAGCAGTGGCCAAGGCAATCAGCAGTGGCCAAGGCCAGTAAGGTATTGTCATGCATGAAAAAGGGCATTCATTCTCGGGACAAGAATATAATTTTGCCTCTTTATAAATCACTGGTAAGACCCCATATTGAATATGCTGTGCAATTTTGGGCACCTGTTCTAAAGAAGGATATTATGGCACTAGAAAAAGTGCAGAGGCGGGCTACAAAATTAATAAAAGGAATGGAACATATCGGCTATGAAGAAAGGTTAACAAATTTAAACCTATTTAGTTTAGAAAAACGTCGCCTGAGAGGGGATATGATAACATTATACAAATATATTCGGGGCCAATACAAACCATTGTGTGGAAATCTATTCACAAACCGGACTTTACATAGGACACGAGGCCATGAGTTTAGACTGGAAGAAAGAAGATTTCGTCTAAGGCAAAGGAAAGGTTTTTTTACTGTAAGAACAATCAGGATGTGGAATTTTCTGCCTGAGGAAGTGGTTTTATCAGAGTCCATACAGATGTTCAAACGGCTACTAGATGCATACTTGCAAGAACAGAATATTCAAGGATATAATCTTTCAATGTAGGGTAATAACTGCTTGATCCAAGGATAAATCTGACTGCCATTCTGGGGTCAAGAAGGAATTTTTTTCCTAGCTTGTTGCAAAATTGTGCTTCAAACTGGGTTTTTTTGCCTTCTTTTGGATCAACAGCAAAAAACAAATGTGAGGTAGGCTGAACTTGATGGACGCAAGTCTCTTTTCAGCTATGTAACTATGTAACTATGTAACTATAGCGCCATCACATTCCGTAGCGCTGTACATTGAGAATGGTTTAACTCCTTAAGGGAAAAGTGTGCCTGGGGGCCTCCTGGCACCATAACAAGTTAATTTAGATGAAGTTGATATGGTGCCCCTTTAAGATGTATTAGCTTTGGTGCTTATAGTGTTCTTTTTCGTCGGAGTGGCTATGTTTTAATAATGTATGTTAAGAATGTTTTAAAAAAAATAAAAATGATAAATTAATGTTTACCTATTTTTTTTCTGTTACTTCGTTTTACCCCAGTTCCTTATTTGGTGAAAATCAATTGAAACAGAAAACATCTGTAGTTTGTGAAATGAAGCTATTAATAGGATCCATTATCAAACAAAGTCCTAAGAAATGGGCAGTTGCTGCAACTCTGCCAAGTTTCATCAGGATCATCTCTCTTCCTCTATAAACACAAACTTCTAATATAGTGTTCTGTGAAAACGCATTGAAGGGATATTCCGAACACAATAGCCACTACAGCTAATTGGAATAATTAAGATGAAACGTAAGCTGTCTGTGCAGGCCCCTCATTTATTGCAGTAGCGATGGTGCAATAAACCTGCCACTGCAATGTCATATTTTATTTCCCTGCCATCTTTTCTTTTTCAGTAAATCCTTGATGCTGTACTCCTCCCCTTGTTTTTAAAGGATCACTTGCCTGCCCAAGTACAAAATAAATAAAAATCAATGTTTAGTAGATATACCCCAAAGGAAAACTTGGACACATTTATTTATCCATTTTGTAATTGGAGTATTTAAAAACTGCTTTCAAAACCGGCAGTTCTCTTGTCTGCTGCTTTGCACACCCTCCTTTTCTAACCCCGTCCAGACTGTGGCTGTCCAATCACAGACTTCCCAATGAAGCTCAATGAGAAGTCTTTGCACGGCAGGTGCTCTAGGCAATTGCTGACTCTTGAGTTCAGTGTAACTAAGCTAACCAAACCAGGAAGTAACAGGGCCTTCTGTCTGCTTGAAGAGTCAGGGGGTATAACCAGTATAATTCGCAGCCAATTAGGCGTTAAATCCCTTTGTTTATGCAGCGAAAGTCACACCTTCCTGTAGGTGCCTTATATAGCCTTCCTAAGCACTTCCTGTAAATATCTAATGTTAGCTGGATAGACCTTGTGTGCTTAAAGTTCAGTTTAGCAGGAAATAAAAACATCTGAAGTAAGTTAACATCTGATTGAAAATGAAACCTTTTTTTTCAAGCAGGATGTGTAAATCACAGGCAAGGGAGGTGTGACTGGTGTTGCATAAACAGTAATT